CCCGGTGGCGTAGTGGGTAGCATGCTTGCGTTCTGCCCATGAAGTCGCGGCTTCGATCCCCAGTTGAATCGATGGATTCGCACTGCTGATGAGACCCAACCTGATCGAAAAAGCTGTCCAGTGCTTCCTAGCTTTTCAGTTCACACTTCGTTTGCTATAAACACAACGAATTACCATTCGTAATCATGTATTTAATTAATTCCACAATGCAAATGACACTTGCAGAATGATTTGAACTCTCTCATGCACCCCGTGGGACACTATCTATAAACGCACGCGTACAAACACAGACGTGATCTACTTTTTCTGTTTCCTCGAATTATGTGATTTTGTGTCCTATAAAAGAGGGCTGTATTTGGCTGGTAAATGATGCAGAAATTACAAGTGCATAAGTGGTTAGGTCACCAACTTATAACCTGTAATTCCCGAGTTCGAACCGCTCCACCGCCGCCCATCTTCTCAGGCAGCCTTTGTACAGCCGCGGCCCCCCTTCCTGAATGTTAACTGTGCATTTGTATATTCAACATTAAAAGGACAAATATCGCGCAATGTTAATATTTTCTCTTATCTTCTCAATCGTTGAATTAAAACAACCAGGCAGATATGGGTTTGTTCAATTATGGGGAACGACCGTGTACAAGCATACAAATATTACTAAAATATAGAAGTAATTGCAGTGCTGAACTTTTTGCGGTTAGTGAAGTACTGCTTATTCGAGTACATCGCCCGACCTTAGGCGCACAAAAGGTTTTGGTACAATCAATCTACTCGCCGTGAAGTTGATCTTCTACTTCTAAAGTTAGTGATATTCATATGCCTAAACACGTTCGTTCATCATAATTGAACAGTCCCATGTGCTATATATGTGCCTGTTTGTTTTAGGTTAGAGACTGAGAAGAATAAACTAAATGTCAAGATCTTCCAATATTTACCTTCCTTCTGTATTGATTAAATGGATGAAGGGGACCGAATGCTTCAAATAGTAAATGATGCATCTAAAATGAGCTGGTTAACCAAATTGACTTATTTATGAAGCCCACAGGTATCTTCCAGTATTGTGCTAGAAACAGTCTACAGTTCACCTAAAAATTCTCCAGTTATTATTGAACATATTTATGGGTTTTAAGTAGAAACTTCCTTCTAGACGAATTATGAAAATTTTCACGACACATGTAATCATGATCTCTGTGAGTTTAAAAAGAGTAATAAAGGCTGATTTACGTTCGGTTCTCTCTTACATTTTTACTCCCAGGCTCGGCTACTACACCCCGTAACCGGGATGACCTTTGACAGGTTCACTGGTACAAGATCGTTTCCGTCCAACGTACCCAACATGACAGAACAAGTTCGTCCTTTTGAATCCACGACGACGACCTCCACAATACGCAAAGTAAACATTCCACACGCACAAACCACTCCAAATATTCAGAGTTTGACATCCCTGTTTCGTGATGTCACAGCCGAACCGAGCCGATTCGATCCCACCACGCCACCCTATCGAAGCTGTTCCCTCCTGCATCTCAGTCAACCCGATCTGGCTCACAATCCGCTACGTGGCTACCGTGTCGAATTCGTGCGTATGCCCCTGGCGGACAGTCTTCTTCTACGGTTAGAAGCAGTCAAATCCTCATCGGAACGAGGTCGCAGCCCACGACTGTTTGCCTCACAGCTGATCAGCACCAGTTGTCCGCTGAGAAACAATCTGACCGGTTACACTCATTTGCATTTACGAATTCATGAAGAGAATTTGAACTTAGTCGGTCGAGAGCCAAGTCAAACTGAACATCATCACACTCACTCCTCACTAAGGCAATCGATTGGACTTTTAATTTTCTGTAAAGTAAGTCTCACCGGACTAATTTATGTTGATGCTAATGAAACCTGAAAAGGGTAAAACAGCTTCCCGGTGCTCTTTATTGGTTTTTCCACAACTTTACTATTTAAGTTTGATAAGGCCTTCAATTGGTGCCTTGTGATTTATCCTCGAAGCGATACAGATCAGTGAATTGTTTGTTAAACTATAGCATGCAACAGAACTGTCTACTCATCCGTCATTTCTCCTGATATTCAAAGAGGGAATTCGTCGAATATAGAGCAAACGAAGCGTAAACTGAAGAGCTAGGCAGCACCTCTGTATAGCTGTTTTGACCTGACTGGGTCTCATTAGTGCAGTGCGCGAATGCATCGACCTTCGCAAAGATGGGTTGTGCTACATCGTGTAATTGGAAAATGAAACACCGGTCTGCTTAGCTGCCCGGTGGCCAAGTGGTTGGCATCCCTGTGTTCGGCCTGTGGGGTCTCGGCTTTGATTCCCAGTTGTGTCGGTGGATTCGCGCACTGCTGATGAGACCCAACTAGGTCGAATCAGCTGTACAGTGGTGTTTCCTAGCTTTTCAGTTCACGCTTCATTTGCTCTATGCACACGACAAATTCCCCCAATGAAATTACTGTCATGTAATTTTAATATCAATGACTTTTATTAGAAAACAACTAAGAATTTTGATTGATTTTCACTTAATTATCTTGTCCGGTCGTGTGTGGTTTCTCTGATCCGACAAAATATGCCGATAGTCATGCTGGTAGGAACACAAGACATCTTTGTGTGAACATTAAAGCAACTCCTCACCAAGACAGCCGATGTGGTGTGCTCAGTACAACGATTGATTATCGGATTCTGTTTAGAGACAACCAAACACATCAAGCCAGTTCTATCACGCCTGACACGAGATCCGAAGGGAGAAAATGTATTTTCACAATGAAGCACCGCGTCACCAATGATTAGGGTATGTTGATGTCTAACTTGTGAATCGCTCAGCAAACTGATCAATAACACATTAGTGCAAAGAACAACAACTGCCTCTCCTGATGTGGTGTCTTATGTATTGGATAGTTAGGCCAAATAAAGCCGGAATCGATGAGATCACCAAAACTAACAAAACCGATTTCGCTATTCATTCAACAAACCTTTTAACTACACAGTACGAATTTCATCAACAACTGTAATCTCGTAATTCATGATCTATCTACAAGCTGGACAGCATCATTCTGGTGTTCAGTCTTTGGCACTCACTACATGTTTTTAATTTCATGACCAGTTAGGTCACACACAGAAATCAGAAGATGAGTTAAGCCGAATAACTCGAAGCACTGTATTATACCTGGCTGTTTTGACCTTCTGCACTCTCATCAGTCATGCACATCCATTCAGTCAGCTGAGGAATAAACTAGGGATTAGAAATCACTGGACAACTGCAATGAGACGCCAAATGATAAAACTACTGTGCACTACTTCTCTGCGTTCCAGTTCACGTTTCTTTCAGCCTGTCCTAGAAAAAACTTCCAATTCAGATAATCTAATTAGAACCTCTCACACACCATAGCGGTAAACGATTTTCGCGATCCGTAGCAAAATAGACATCAAGGTGAATCGAAGCGAAGCTGTGCAGTGTGAGGAAGTGAGTGATATTTGGATTTTACGATTCACTCAGTCCAAAATGGGTTTATAATTGAAAAACACAGTTCGATCATTCGGAGCCAGTTGAATCGACTTCGCTATTTTACTCTTGCTGTGCACATTAGCCTAAATGCAAGAAATCCATCTTTAAAATATGTATCTTCTTTACTCAGTATTTCACTATCTTGACTGTTTCAGTATCCGGCACGGCACATTTTCCTTGCTGTGAATCTGTGTTTTGGGTACCCGTCACCTGTCACAACACAGGTAACCGCTGCTCTGAGTTACATGTGTTGAAACTGGTTAAAGAACGATGCGACAGGGCTAACCAGAGGGCGGGAAAAAGGCCGTAGAACAGAAGAAGCACCGGTTTTTTTGAAGGCAAACTAAGGAACCATTTCCCGAACCGGATAGCTCTTTTGACTGACCCTTGTAAGCGCGAAACTCAAATCTACTACTACTAACCGAGAGCATGATTGATCAGATGAACTGAGAATCATTCGTAAAAATAAATGAAATCTGACAATGACCTATCTGACAATCACTGTACCTTAGACCACATCACAAATCACAAGTGGCTATGGTTTTCGTGTGAAAAGACATGGCTATTCATGTCATCCATGGCCATGACGTAGATAAGAGGAAGTATTTTGCGATCGCCAATCTCCATAGTCGGAGCAACTTTGGGCGATACCACAATGTTGTTGTGAGAACATAACATTCATATATACATATATATTACAATAAGTAGTATATGAATGACGCTTCAAAATTTCGTGGTTCTTGCCGGTCATCAGGCATGTGTATCCAACAGTCGATTGTCACTTCCTGCATATACTTGTACACAAGGAGTGTATTTTCAACAAAAATATCTCATTGGCAACACCGGGTAAATTTGTTTCGATAAGCCTATCGATCGTGTACCTCCAGGGAAAGGTCGTCAGAGTCACTCATATACTACTAATTGCAAACATATTCAATAAAGACGCTTAAGTCGCGTTTGTTGCGGTTAGTGGCATCTGAGCCACCTACAAAACATCGAATTATATTATTGATTCTTCGATGGACTGGTTCTGAAAGAGCTGTCCAACCAAATGAGTCTAGTGTGACGAAAATGCAATTCCTGGGTACAAGCATGTCATTGAAAAGACAAAATACTACCGGCTACGCATGGCTGACGAGCGGCAAGAACAGCGAAATCGGTCGTCCGCTTCCAGGGAAGTTCTATCCAGTCATTCATATACCACTTATTATATATATATCTCCTGTTACCGTGATTTCGTACGCATGTCTACTAGAAAAGAGAGAATACAACCTGGCTGAGGCAAGAATAAGAAAGAACAGAAAACTGTTGTTGCAACTCGGTGGTCAGGGTACAGGTTTTATAGGATCGGAAAATTACCCAGCTAAAACCTTAGACCAGCTTTATTGGAGTTCATGATTGAGAAAACATGGAACCAGTAAAATCCTTTTCAAAATCCTTTGGCCAAAATCAAATGATTGATGAATAACCCACATAAATACAAGCAATGATCTGGTTGACTGGTTAACTTAACAAATTCAGCTACTTTTCTGATCGAACCATTGTCTGAAACCATAAAATAAACTGAGGCACCATGAACACAAAATTGTGCTCCTATTAAAACTTAACTGAACTGACCAAAAGAAACTGCATTTTTTTAGTTCGCTTTGATCTAGCACGTAAATTGATCCTGGAGTTATTGAAAAGGCATTGTTTTGTACTGACTCACACGATAAACCGGCACACTCAAGCTGAACACTCATGACGCAGAAAAAATTACAACAAGCGATGCGTCGCTGAATGAAAAGAAAGTGCGAAATGTTACCTGTACGCAATGCAATGAAATTCATAATCACCAACACAGAGAAATTCGTATAAATAAGGCGCGAGGTGAAAATCTGGGAAGCACTGGATAGCTGTTTCTACCTGGTTGGGCCTCAAGTGGGGATCGATCCCGAGACCTCACAGGTAGAATGCAGGCGTACTAACCACTTGGTAACTGGGCGGCTGATTAGACCGTTTCTCATTTTGAACATATACGATATAGTACAATCCACATTGAAAAATTCACTTAATTCAATACTCTATAATCAAAGTCATCCATAGCGATACTTACACGTAGAAACAGTGCCAAATCTTCAGATAGATAGCAAACGGAGAAGACACATAACGTGATTTATTCACTAAAAATAGCACGCACATAACGCTATAACATCGATTCCAACAATGTAAGCTAGGGGTTTATAATCCATGGCAAGATTTGTGATAACCGTCAAAGACAACTGGACAGCTGTTTCGTCCTGTTTGGGACCAGTTAGAAGTGAATATTTTTCGTGTTCCTGTGAAGAGTGGCACAGCAAACATTCAAGTCGGGACTTCAAACTCTTGCCCCTGAGCTACGCGGTCGACGGCATCCCCTTGAACAAATGGTACAAACAAGTATAACAAATTACGAATAATTCATTTAATTGTCCACAAGAACAGATACAGTTGATACCCCTAATATGTGTTTCACTCCTTGGGAGACTGCCAAGTCCCCACTAGTTGAATCCAGTTATATGCGATGCGAAGATCTGTGGTGACCGACAGGATCATCAGTAGTGCTGAGTGCCTACACCAATGGAATGGATTATTCTAAATTTACGACTCTAACATCTGAGTACTTATGAGTAGTAAAACGCTAAGGAGAATAAAAAGAGAACTGAATTGGGTGTCCTTAACGCGTATCGGTATACCAACAGTTGTTTGCCGCCGCACCTACCATGTAAGTGAGCGAATTTATAGAATAAAAGGAGCTAATGGAAACCCCGACAATTGCAAAAGTAGACTGTCGCAGCTTTCAGAGGTGAAATTGTACAATATTCCATTTTCAACGATTGTATTTCTTTTAAGGTAATCTAAACCCTAAAACTGCGCGAATTGTCTACTATTTTTTTGGGTTGAAGTATATCTAGATATGAAGCTTTTCGCATATAAACATCGGTGAAAGAACCATCCCCCCTCTGGCAAATCATCTGATTTACCAATTCAAGTGTGAATGCTCGACCATGTACATGGGCATGACAGAGAGACAGTTACTTCACCTAATGGCCGAACACATCCCGGTGTGGCTTAAGAAAGCGATGAATGACAAGTATGAAGTTGGTACATCATCAGATGAGCAGAAAAAATTTAGATCTTCTATAACACAACATTGATTCAAATAACAAAAAATTATGTCACTCCAACCCACGCAGTCCAGGTCATCTACGACACAACAAACGCAAAGTTACTGAAATTTGCCGAGGCTCCAGCTGTTCATGCTCTCGCAACCCCGATCTATGTAAACAAAGTGAATGATTGGTCATATTAGCTTCTTTGCCTTGGTGATTGACCCCCAGCCCTCTCGTTTTCCGTGTTGGTGTGTCAC